CCCCCCCCCTCTCCTGCCTATCTGGGGGTCTTATCCCTGGGTCCTGGAGTGGGTCCTGTGTGGTGATGGCTGCTCTGTGGTCGTTTTCCCAGTCAGCTCCCACAGCTGTGCTGTGAGGAATGGGGACAATGCCATTGCCCCATGCTGAGATCAGCAGTACCTTCAAAAAAGAAAGCTACAAGATGGAAGCACTGTATTTTTGTGATTTTCTTCTCATTCATAGATAATATGAATAATAAGCTATACAAAATGCTGAATTTTTCTAATTCCCTAGAATTATCCAATAAAATGACAACACCAACAAAGAAAAAAACAACAAAGCCAACCAAACAAGAAAAAAGCATACAAAAACAAACAGACAAACCAAAAAAACACCCCCAAAAAATATCAGCCTAATTCACTTCTACTGAACAGTGCCACTAAAAGTTTCTCATTCTTCCCAATACCCTTGGCTCTATCTGCAGAGTGTAGCCACAACGAAAGTTTCTTCTACCACCCTACACCTGGCACCTTCTGTCTGCACTGTTCTCTGCTTTTTCAAATCTCACTTCTCTCATTGTCATTTTTTTTTCCCACAAATATGAAATTATTTTTGCTCTTTCTTCCTTCAGTCTTCATATTGGATTTCATTTTAATTTACTCACTGACCTTTTCCCTGTTATCGACTGTGTGATACACCAGAGTCTAAATACCTCTTTTATGAGAGTCTCTCTGAGGCTTTCCCAGGCTTGCTTTTATTTTATCTTACAGTGAAGTTGTGTATTTGTGAAATCATCCCCAGCCACCTGGAACCCAGTGAGAGGCTCATTACTGGTTCCAGAGGCACAGGGCTGATCACTATAATTCCTGAGACTTTAGGAGGAGACTTTTAACATCTCCAACTGACTTCAACAGCAATCTGTCTTGTTCATCTGAGGACATAATTCAAGTCACAAGTCATCAAACAAGTAATTGACTTTTTTTTTTTTTTCTTTTTTTTTTCAGAAAACATGTCAGAGTTAATGGGGAACTACTTTGGCAATTTGAGGCAGAGTTGAGGCCTCATATTTTTAGTGCTTCATACGCTGATAGGTACTGAATTCTGACGCAAAATGATGATCATCCCCTGTATGTTCCTGCCAAAACCACAAATCAGAAAATTTCACTGCACTGACATCATTTAAATTGCAAGTCAGAGAAGTGTGTGTGAAGGGTTAATCATCCTCACATTTGAAATACACCCTGTGTTTACAAAATAGATTTCTCATAAGCTCCTCTTTGCAGGCTCTTTACATTTCTCTTTCCAACTGCAGAACTGCGTTTGTCTCTTTCACTACAAGCCCTTAGAGAGTGCGACCAGATTCTGAAAGCCATAAATTCTGTGAACTTTGTAATATCTTGAGAGATGCCTCAAAATTCCTTCCATTTTTGTTTCAAACTATAAATAGAACCTTCTTTCTGCAACCAGTCTCCAAAGGTCACCTTATGATGTTTTGCTATTTCCCGTATTAGGCAGCAATGCTTTTCAGCTGACATTCCAACTTCAAGTCATGCATATGAGCATGATGTGAGCTTGCTGCAGACTACACTGAGAGGGCTGCAAACAAGACTACTGTATAATTGCTGAGAAGAATATCATCCATTGTCAAAAAGGGCACTTCATCCAACAAAATCTAGCTGCATGAATACAAGTGTCACCAAATGTTTGGCTCATGCTAAAAATATAGCACATTTATTAAAAATATATATTTATAAACATTGGTATGAACAGACACAGATGTTAAGCAAATGAGAAAGTTAAAATAACCACATACCATATTTCTCCAAACATCTTATCAGTTTTAGGCAGATCTTGCTCAATAGAATTGTTTTTTTTCTTTCATGATTGCACCATATGTTCATTCTAAACAAAAAGCTTGTCAGATTCGATGTAAGTAAAAGCATAAAACAAGAGAGAAAATAACATTTGACCTAATGGACACGTGATCTGTGCTATGCAGCTATCTTAGAGTTCCATCTTTGCAGGTATACAGTATACATTTTTAATTGTATATAGTGTACAGTTTCTAATTTTTTTCTTTTTTTTTTTTTTTTTTTTTTTTTTTTTTTTTTAAATTGTGTTAAAACAACATAACCCAGGTGGATTTCTCCAAAGCTACAACTTACATAATTGCAGTCATGTTTTCCCCAAACCAAAAACCAAAGCGAAAGGAAGAGGGCAGGACAGAAGAGTTTAGCTTGTTACTGCGTGAAGAAGTCTTGTTAAATTAATTGTGCTTCAGCCTTTGCTGCCTGCAGGCAGTGCTTTTATGATGTGTTAATATAATACAGAGTCAATTCTGATTAAACAACTTGTCAATAGTCAGCAATGTTTGTTGTCACTCTTAATGGCCGTTTTATCTGTTCTATTTGCATGCCTGCTAGTTTACAACGTTGTGTAAATGTACACAAAAATGATCACAATGAGGTTTAGAATTGTCCCAATAATTCCAAGCATTGCCAAGATGGTTTCTTCTTTGCTTTCCTTTTCTTGATTGCCTTTATCTTCTTCATTTCCACTAGTGATTACCATCTTGGTGGCCAGTTTCTTTATCGTTCCCTTCAGGATAATCTAGAATTAGGAAGAAAAATACCAGAACACATTAGTTAGGTTGTTTTTCTGAGCTTATATAAATGGTGGAGAAAACTGCAGGATTTTTGCCTCTTAACACTGTGCATTAAAAATTCAGTTTAAAGTTTAACATTTTTTTTCTAGCTATTTAGTAAATGCTTAATTAAGTGATAGTTCAGCTAGCCTGGAAATTTCTTATAACCCTCCAAAATATCCTCTGCTTATCCACTAGCCATCATTTACAGCATTAATCACTCATCTGCAACATTGCTATGAAGCTGGTTAGAAGTGTACCACTGAGATGTGACTTCCACCTGTGTCAGTGGGAACTTGGTTTGCATTAGGAATGTAGGAGACATTGGAAAGTTGCAGAAAGCCTGAATTTACACCTTGGTACCAAGGACTGAGTGGGTGAGAGAAACAAAAATGGGAAGAACTTTTTTCCTTTTTTATAGGAAAAACTACCAAAGACAAAGATATTTTGTCTTCTGACAAGAAGGAAGACAGCAGTGACTTCCCTCTAAATAATTCAAAATAACAGCAAAACCAGAATAACATCCATCGTGGCTTTTATTTTCCTCATTCTTAATGTACGATGAAAAGTTCCTTGCAGTGTCGTGAACTGAGAGGTATCGATCTGCCTGCAGGGAGGATACGGCCATTTCCTAAGCAGCAGCTCTAACATCTGAACTGCTCAAAAAAGAAAATCCTTCAGTTCTGGGACCAGCCCTGACTTCGGGCACTGCTGGAGCTCCCCTGGTGTGCCAGCCAGGTAATGAGACCTGGGTAAATGTTTGATCTTCAAATTAGAAATGGATAAATTCTATTCATCCGTGCTTACATCTATCTAACGCAATTCAGACGCAACTAGAAAACCAGACTGACCCAGAAAACTGGAGCAGGCTGGCTGTTTTCCCAAAGCATACAGATCTGCCAACAGCTGAGCTTGGGCTGTGTCCTACTGTTATCTCTGTGACTGCCCACCACATCCTGTGACTTTCCTGCTGCTGGCAGGAGGCAGCAAAAGCTTCCCCAAACAGCTCCTGCCCACAGGAGGGTGTTAGTTGGAGAAGAAAGGAGACACAACCTCTTCTCTTATTCCTCCAGCAGCTAACCTATGGATCAAAGCTGCTGGATCCACACAGCTTGGGCAGGCAGAGAAAAGAGAACTGTTTAGGACAGGCAAATATCCCCCCAGCATCACAATTTGGGAACTAAGTTGTGCAGCCCGAGCAAGGTCCTTGTTCATGCAGATGTGGCACAGCAGAGTACCAAAAGGATGAAAAGGTCTGGAAGAGTAGAACTTTCTCAAGAGAGACTAGGAGGAAAAAAAAAAAGAGAGTCCAGACAAAACAGTGTGTTTGTTTTGTCTGCCAGTTGTTCATATATAGGGCAGCAACCACTGCTGACATTCTTGTGAGGACTGGAATCTCAACAGGTACTGATGATGTACAAGTGATTAGCGGTGAGTAAGGCAGGAGTGGGGGTCTGTGGAGGTGCTACCAGCCCTTACATGAACACTTGTATTAGCATTTACGTGCTTTGCCTTTGCGTCACCAAGTGATTCAGCAGAAAATGAGGCAGTTGGTAACCTCGATGTACCCACAGCAAAGCTGTGACTTCTCCTAGAGGGATGCTGCACCAGACAACAGAATGGTCTCATCTCACAGGTCTGCTGCTAATCTGACCCAGACAGGCAAAGCTTCAGGGGCACTGGGCACCTCCCAGGGCATGCTGGCTCCTGGTTCCATTCCAGCCCTCACAAACTGCTCCCCACATTCTTCCAGTCACTCTCAATTGCAACTCTTCCTGTTGGACATCCTCTAACAGCAAATGGTCCTTGCCATATTTGCCCTCAGCTAGGTCCTGGAGGAGCCCAAGTGTCCCACCTGCTGCTTGGTTCTGCTTTGCAACTAGCAGGTGCTTTCCCTGCCTATGGAATTGCCACTACACAATCAGTGATACCCAGACAGGAAAGCTGGCTCTGGGAAGTACCAGGAGAGTTCCTATGAAAGCCATTTACACTAACCTCACAACCCAAGGCATTGAGTCCACATGGCAGCAGACCACAAACCCACATCCCTAACTGTGCCACAGTCAAGCACTCTCCCTTTTCAGTAGCCAAGATGTGGTCTCTCTAGTCAAATAGCTACATTTCACTATTTGTTTGAAAAATCAAGTGGAATCACAAATATGATCAGAACACATCCCAAGACTCAAACAAGAGGATTTAAAGAGGCATTCATGTGCTGTGTCTGAAATTCTGCAGACAGGTTCTACTGAGCTGAGCACTGTTCATTCAGCACTTCCAGCTCTTGTAGAAACACAATGATAGCCAAGCATCCTGTGAGCCCTTCAGGCTCTGAAAAAAGCCAGAAAAGATACACTGATTAATTCATAGGTCTGCCTTATCCTATGGTTTGGGCAGAGTCAACCAGTCAACCTCAGCTGGGGTGGATTTCCACACACCCTGAACTGACCAATATGGGTTGGTCATGGCATCTACACCATGCATGCTCAATAATTCTGTTTCTGGGATTGATGTGAGCAGAGGCAGCTGGAGGGCATCAAAACCTCTACTATGAGCAACACATCTTTTCTAATAAATTCAAAGTGTGCAGCATGCAATTAAAGTGTCAAACTCTTTCCTGCAGGACACTGCAAATCCTAAAATTAACATAAATCTTAAAAGTAGCTAAATTATTCACAAAAGAAAAAGTATATCAAAGACTATAAGATATAAAGAAAAGCCCTCTGGCTTAGGAAGTCCTTGAGTTGTGATTTATTTTATTTTATTTTTTTTTTTTAAGCTGCAAAAGTATTCTGGGGAAGTACCACCAGATCCTTGCCTTTTTATTAAAATCTTTCCCATGTACACACTGCTGGCAGCTACAATAGAGGGGTCACCAGGCTGCACAATCTCTAAGCTGAGGTCATGCAATCATTTTTCTGTTCCTTGCATGTTCTAATAATTAGCAAGCAGATACTGAGTTTCCTTGGAGGAATTGCTCCAGTGTGAATACACTACTTGCTATTTCATGCCTCACCTACGCTACGAGAGACCACAGTGGGCTTGGTATTAGGAGTGCTTAACATTCCAGCAGGACAAGACTGGGACCAAATACAATTATATTAGTACTTTGCCAAATATAGAACTGTTGAAACAAGGTAAGCTTTGACTTTGAACTGTAAGGAGACCAGAATCAAAATTACTTTTCCACATTTATGGAGTGACCTTGGGAGACAAGAAATGCTCTCCTGATGCCAGACTCAAGCCTTTAACCTTCACAGATCTTGTGCTCAGAGAGGAATTTCGGTTGGCTGCGTCTTGTGGGTGTTTTTTGTTACAGGGAAAACAGTTCCTGACATTTTTAATATAATGTCCCTAATTAATGAAAAAGAAAATCAAAATCTTTTGGCTTTCTAGGACCTTTTTCAGCCTTTGTTATTCTCCTCTGGAAATTGATTTCATTTATTTGACATTGTTCCATGTTTTAAAATTGTTATGACACAGTGCTCCTTTTATAATTTTTCTTATGCAACTTCATGCTTGTCAGAAACACTCCTTTTCCTTGCCGAGAAATGCTGATTAATATAGAAGGTGTAAAAAGCACTAGATATACCATTTCTTTAATAATGATCCTTCTTATTAAGTAGTACTTCATTAGGTAAGTGATCTCTTGCCTTATCAAAATGAATGTGCTCCCTATACCATTTTGCAAGATTCATCATTAACCTGGTATCAGCTTTTCAAGAAGATATATAATCTGTAAAGATATACATGAAAGTTATTTATTCCATGTATTCTGCTTTGCACAGTGGCAAGGACAATCAGAGGTTAGAATACGTCTCTGATATCCACCTCTTTGAACAACTATTGACTTTGTACATATCTAGGGGATATCACTTCATCTCCCTCTGCCTCAGTTTCTAATCTGTGGGATTCTTTCAAGAATAGCCCAGTCTATCCTGGGAAATGACTCATAGAAACAGCAGTGCCTTTCAGAACAGGGAGATGTTAACATGAACAATTTCAAATCCAACTATGTTACAAGATACTCCCACTGCCATCTCCACAAAACCATAGGTCTCACTGCATGCTGATGTCATTGTAAGCAGACCTATGGACTAGTCACAGCATTTCTAACAAGAGGAAATAACTGTTCCTTGCCTCCTCACCCTCAGCATGAACAGTCAGTGAGCTGAAAGTGATGGGGCAGCAGCAGGGCTTTGGAAATGGTGGCAGAGAGTGCATGTTTGTTATTTTACTGCAGTATGTTTGTCAAATTGAAGGTACAAAGTACATCCCTTGTGAGGTACCTGCCTGACATATCTGACAGCTTTTGAACATGCTGGCTCCTTGACTTGCTCTTGACAAAGTTTAGCAATCTGCAATCTCTTTGCTTGTAGGTCACTATTGAAAGAGTGCCCAGGAGGCTGTGAGCTGGTAGGAGCACAGCTCCCAGATATTAGAACAGAGAGAAGGGTCTGCACTCTGCTTGGACCTGTGCTGGCCTGTATGATCCAGTGCCTTGACAAACAAGAATGGAAACTTCTGCAAAGTTCTGAGGGTCAGGTGCTGAGCAGCCTCCCTTCTCCACTCAGCCACGCTACCTCCATTTACAGCAGCTGAGGAGCTGCCTTCTCATCTTCAGTCTAGCTTGAATATCATTGGGCACAAATTTTGTATTCTTAATACATAATCACGGACAATCACCAGCCAAACTGTTCTGATATTTAAACTTGTTTATAGTCCCCAGGCTATTAGCTGTGATGACACATTAACAGATAAGAGAGCTTTAATTTTCTGGGGATAGTTCCGCCCTCAGGGGTAAGAAACAGAGCAGAAACTTGTTTCGATTAGCAAACTGAAGGAGGCACAGAAATCATACAAAGCAGACTGTGAATTCACCTGCTGCTGGAGCTGCCATCTTTTCTTATTGCACACAGAAGCACTCCAGTTACTAGTGGAGGAGAGGCTTAATACCACTTATACAACA